AAAAAAAAAAAAAAAATTAACATTTTATTACATTTTGTTAACTCAATACTTTTTTTTAATAATAAATGATATAATATAATTTATGGAAATTATCGAATAATGTAAAACATAAAATGTAAATATGACAATGTTAATTTTACGATGCTTATGATATTTCGCTTACTATCTAAATTACGTGAAATCTGACAAAGCGTTTTCAGTTAATTGTGATTGTAGAAGTAAGTGGGAAGTTAGAGCAAATTACGTCAGCTAATTCGATAATAATGCATTTTCGTAAATCACAAAGCTAATATGCGTCAGAAGATACATTCATCATTGATGTCGGATGGAATGCGATCATTGGTATTGTTATTAAGCTTCACAGATGAACACGTTAACGTGGTTCTAATGCGAAATGAGTCACGGAGAAACAAATATCGATACGATCTATGATAACATATGACATTTGTAGTTGAGCATGCTTGTGCAGTATGTGCATATTGTAGGCAACTTGGTCGATAACAAACATGCACATCAACCGTCGATAAAACAGATTTAAATTGCATTTATTTTTTACTACATTCCTTTTTATCGAATAACTTTTTCAAATAAAATTAAAATAAAGTTGAAATTGCTACAATATTTGAAATTATTCAGCGAACGATGGATCTGAAACTCGTAACAATTTAATTAATGTTAATTTATCGTAATGGAAATTATACGAATGTAATTTTTATTTTAAATAAAATATTCGATATACGCAGTACTACAAGCAAAGCTACGCGAATTATATGAAAATTATCGTTGCCTCTACGCGTACAAAGAGAAATGATTTTATGATCGCCAGACGTATTCAGCAGCTCGTTGCTGAAACGTAGCAATAACCGAGAGTGGTGAATTTTCATTTACTCGGTATCGTTACTTCCATTTCTGTATGCAGCGGGAATCATTTTGAATAGAAAGTGAACAAAGCAAGCTCTGTGGTCCGTTTATCGCGTTTTATATGATTTTTAAATTGTTGTCCGAGCACATGTGTTTATGTGTAGGATCCAATAACATTTGTATTTTGGGGATAAATATTTCTCTTTGATATATCGAAGTGAAAATATGATGATAAAAATGATATTAAATCTCAGCGTGAATTACTTTCTTCAATAAATTGAAACAAATGTCGAATATTTTTCAAGAGCTTAAGGCAAAGCTTAATCGAAACGACCTATAAATAATCGTAGTCGAGTTTTACCATTATTCAGCATATTTTATTAATGTCTCCTTTTCTAAGGCATTTTTAATTAATCACGCGACGATAAGGCGAACAGTGGCATTTCGTAATTCAAAGCTAATTTAATTTTGAATCATTATCATTGCTATATTATGAAAAATATTCATGAACAATTACTATCTTTCATAAAATTTCAATTAACCAAAAAATTATATATGAAGTTAATAATTAATTATATTTTTAATCAAAATGATAGAAATTTAATTAACGATTTTGATTCTGCTTTAATTTTCGATTATTATCTTTTTGTTATATTGAGAATTTCCATTCATTAATTCATTCTTTCACTCTATTATTTGAGGAGAAAATATATTCCGGCAATTTACACATTTGTTCTAAAAGATATTCGTTGAAATAATAATTGATACAATAAAGTTATACACGAATATTCCGGATCGGAAACACGATAGTGAGTCAATTTATCAGTCTTCGTTGTTAATTAAATTTTATCATCGTTCGTTATCGGTGCTAATTGAACTCCTCTGTTAGCGTGCAATGGTAATTTTCTAAAATTTAATCTGGTATATGGAATATTCAGGTATTATTTACATAAATCGAGGCTCGCTTCGTGTATTGATTTTTATAAAGTTTGAATGCATTGCTTAATGGAAATCACATTGATAGAACGCCGCCGGTGTAAAAAAATATGATGCAAAAACGTAGCGAGAGGATTTTCGAGAAATTGAACTTCAACTTCGAAATCAAACGGCAATGAAATTAAAGCTTGAAATTAAATCTCGTCGAATTCGAGTACATTTATAAATTAAATGAGTTAAAAAGTATATTCATGGCAAAGTTCATGCGATAAATAAATTAAAATATTATATCATTTATTGAATTAAAATATTATATTCGTTGGTGCAGAGAGCAG